AAAAAATATTCTAAGAGTTGAATAAGGGAGAGCCATAAGCATTTCTTTCTTTGGAAACCTTGGGTTCTATCAAGAGTGCTACAATGCATTTTCTTAAGCCAAAGAATCACGTTCAAGTACCTCCAGTGTGCATTACCATTTAATTGACAAGAGGTTCATGGAGTAGAAAACATCCTACGTTGGCAATGACTCCACCGATTTTGCAGCCACAGCAGCAAGCAGAAAGCCCCAGGAACCCTCTAGAGAACTGAACGTGCAAAGAGCATACCCAAAGCAAAACCACCACAGCCCTGCTTACCATAGTTGCTTGGGATTAGTCCAGTCTTGCCTTTGGAGGTGCCTTTCCACCAATTGGTATCACTCTAGTGAAAGAAGATTAAGATTCAATTAAGTGGCACCAAATCCAGTTTACAGTCAATCACTTTTAAAACTGTTTGGCTCACAGAGTGCACCTGCTCTACAAAATGTCCATCAGTCCTCGTCACACTGACCAAGCTTCCTCACCCCTACTTCTGGATGTCCATTCCCCTTATCATTAAAGTACAAATATACACACATAAGCCTGCAACAAACACAATACGCTTCATCGCAGAGCCTCAACAATCGCACAAATCAGAGAGTATATGGAAGAGAAGAACACAATTACATTTAGTTTAAACTATCCATAGAATTTTTTTGTCCAGAGTCTAGTTTCTCCAAGTTTCATGATTTTTTTTTTTCTAAAGATCACTTTATTTCACCTTTCTTTTTTGGGAAACTTTATTTTGGAAAAACTCACACCTATAAAAAGTAAAAAGAACAGTATAATACGCTTACATACACTCATCTCCCAACTGCATAAATTATTTCCTCGTGGCCAATATCATTCCATATATTTCCACCACAACTTCCCTCTCCTTCAGATTATTTTGAAGCAAACTGTAGACATTATATCATCTGTACATATTTCAGTACATATTCCTCAAAGATAAGGATTTTTTTCCAAAGACATTATCACGGCTTAAAATTTATTTCAATAATTTCTTACTACCATCAAATATCTAGATCAAGGTCCAAATTTTCCAGTTTGGAATCCAGTTTTTCACAATTGGGAATCCAAATAAGGGCCATACAATATGACTGATTGATTTGCCTCTTTTCTTTTAGTCTCCTCCAAGTTTTAAAACAAATTTTTAAAAAAAAAATTTTAATGTTTATTTTTGAAAGACAGAGAGCATGAGCAGAGGAGGAGCAGAGAAAGAGGGAGCAGGATCTGAAGCAGGCTCCAGGCTCTGAGCTGTCAGCACAGACCCAGATGTGGGGCTTGAACTCATGGACCAAGAGATCATGACCTGAGCCAGTCGGACGCTTAACCAACTGAGCCACCCAGGTGCCCCTCCCTCCATTTTTTTTTTTCACTTCTTCATAATACACTTGTTGAAGAAGTCAGAAACCAGTTTATTTGTTCTGCTGAGTTTCAAATAGTCTAGATTTTACCTATTGCATCCCTGTGTTATCAAAAATGTGTTCTTCTGTTCCCCATATTGCCTAGAAATCGGTCATTAGTTCTAAAGGCTTAATTAGATTTAGATTCAGTTTTTTGGGCAAGACTATTTCATAGGTAGTATTGATGTCTTCCACCAGGAGACAAATAATGTCTGGTGGTCTCTCTTTTTGTAATGTTAGTTAGCTGCTGGTATACATTAGCTGGATTCATTATTTCCTGGGGGTTGCAAAACCGTGACATTCTATCATGCCTTTTTCATTTAAACAGTTAGGATATCAGGGTGCCTGGGTGGCTCAGTCAGTTAAGTGCCTGACTTCGGCTCAGGTCACAATCTCATGGTTCCTGGGCTGGAGCCCCGCATCAGGCTCTGTGCTGACAGCTCAGAGCCTGGAGACTGTTTCAGATTCTGTGTCTCCCTCTCTCTCTGCCCTTCCCATGCTCATGCTCTCTCTCTCTGTCTCTCAAAAATGAATAGACGTTAAAAAATAAAATAAGATTAAAAAAAATAAACAATTAGAATCTCTCTTTAAAGAAAAATTTTCCCTCATCAACTTTCAGGTTACGCAGAGACAAAGTTCACAGAGAAAAGGCAGATCAATGCTAATTATTTTCCTTAACTGAAGCTGTCAGAAGACAAAGTGGGTTCTCTAGCATCCCCTCGGGGTGAAGAATTATGATGATGGGATTTTTGAAGTATCATTAGGAGCTTGTGAATTTAAACATCACAAATGCGTTTCAATTCTTGGGGACTGTTGCCCTGGTTGACTGCTCAAATTGTCCCACCTTTGACTAGTGACACCCTCTTCAACTTAGTTCCTGTCTTTCTAGGAACTAGAAAGTTCTGTCTTTGGAGGCTTCCTGGCTTCCTAATAACGCAGAGTTCTGGGATTATCTTGTACCTCTGCTGCCCCCAACCTGGTAATAGCTATTTCGAAAAAGAGCCTTGTTCCTTTTCCTTTGAATGCAAATAACACATTATTATTGGGTTGGTCTTTTTTTTTTTTTTTTCCTAGGCCTTTTCAAAGGACAGAGCAGGACATAGTTTTTATTTTATTTTAGATAAAATACAACATGCTTGCAATACAAATGCAGAGCTACAGGATTTTTACTTAACCTCGTTGATCTTTCATGTGTGTATCTTTTGTTGCAGGCTGAAAAATCCCAATTTTCAGTATCACAGACCTAACGACTCATTTGCTCTAAACCACAAGGTACGTGCAGTGATCTCAGAACAGCAATGCCACCGCTTCTGCAACAAGATCATGACTGAAAACAGTTTACAACTGTTTTTTCTTGCCAGTCCTTTTTGTCCTTCCCGGGGATCTGACTGGGGATGTTCAGTCGAACTGCTGAGGTTTAAGGTGACTTGGGACAGCTTCTTTCTGTGTGGTTATGCCATTTACCTGCGTATCATTAACTTCATTTGATTCACTCTGCTTTTAAATTTCAGGGATTGCTTTTCACCATTTAATTTTATAACTATGCAAAAGTGTACATCACTCCAAAGTCAGATCTCCAAAACAAGGAGATTTCTTAAAAGTCTATAGGTTCCATCTATGTTCCCTCTACCCTTTTTTTCCTTCCCTGCCATAGAAGAAACTATTTTTAAATTTTTACTTTATGATTTCTCCTTTGATTTTTTTGTTTTAAGTTGAAGAAAATAGTTATACATATAACCTCTCTTAGATAAATAAGGCATACTATCCATATCTTTTTACTTTGTCTTTTTCCACTTAAAGTACTCCATAATAGCATTTAGAGATAGTCCTCATTATTTTTTATAGCTGCATAATACTCTGTCTGTGGATATACCAAAGTTTTTTCAACCATTTTCCAAGTGGTGGACATAAAGTTTACTTCCAATTTTATGCTATTATTACAGATTGTACTAAAATGAACAAACTCAGGCGTATATATTTCCGTACAGACACAGCTTTAAATAATGTACAATATTACAGCTACACAAAATAGTCTTATGCATCTTTAGCTGATATGTGGTATTACAAAATATTAGCTAGACTTACCATGTCAGTAATGTAGATAATATCACCCTCCTCGAAGTACAATTCATCTGGCTGAAAGAAAAAAATAGAGTTTGACCTCGTGTGATTTTTCATGAATTAGAATCCAATGATTATGATAACAATTGTATGAATTTCCAATCTTAATGTGCCCTGTAGACAATGTGGCTTTTATATACTTAAGTCTGCACACAGAACACGTAACAATATTCTACTGACAAACTAAAACGTGTAGAAAACTGAATTTTTCCTGGGAGGAACTTCCAAGAATTCCATATATAACATATAAGAATTCCTCCCTATGCACACATCTTTTATATTCTTCCACAATGAAAGCAAGGCATTTTTGTATCAAAATAGAATATTAATAAAACTTCATCCTTGTAAATGGTCTAAAAGGTGATATGTATTTTTTCATAAAAGGATACATGTCTAGAACTTAAAACCATGAAAACCAGCCAGAGGCTTGGCTCTCATCTAAATGATTAGGCTTCAATCCTTAAACACTTTCAGATCAACATCTGCTACCTGCTTATTTTGACAAAAACCATTACCCTATCTCTTCATGTTCAGAGAGAATGAACATTTCATATATAAGACCACAGGCAGTCCAGACCACAGGCAGCTCTCAGGGGCTAGTGGATTATACAGGCAATAAGTGCTCTGGCTTGTACCAGCCAAATGGCCTGCAAATCTCTGAATTAAAGCCAGCTGCTCTAATTAAGTACCTTTTTTTCTATCAGTACATAGCACTTACCAGCATGACTTTATGACTCTAGAGGACAGTGCCTATTAGGATCAATTTTCAGATACTGGGAAATATTTACATTGTCATGTTGAGTGAAAAATGTGGAGCACAAAATTTCATATAGGAGAAGATCACAAGTAGGCATGAAATATGCATAAAAAGTTTTTCCAAATCTTCTATCATGAGCATGTATTACTTTCATAATTTTGGCTGGAAAACTATTTTTGAAAAGGGCTTTGATATCTCTGATTATCACTACCGTTCCATACAAATGAAAGTTATGTTTGTGAAGCAAATTATTTCATCCATTCATTTTTCCATGTCTTTATCTCCTGTCTCAGTAGCACTGGGGCGGTAAATGCGACTCAGAGCTATTAATTTATTTAGTTTCAAAGCTGATCTATATTATCATTATAACTATTTCCTCCTGAATATAAATGAAGACTATAGCAGTTATATCATGCTTTAAGCAACTTAGACACTTAAATGCATTCAAATACAAAAAGTACCAAATGACAATCAATGATACTAAAAAAAAAAAATGGCTGAGTTCCTTTAAAAGGTGCTTCCTGAGAGCTACATTTACAACTGATTGACCGAGTCTAGACTTAGACACAGCATGAGCTCTGTAAAATTAGTAGAACCTATTAGATTTGATGACATAGAGTTTAGTATTATTTCAAACAGGCATTTAGGGCAAAAAAAGTAAAGTCTTCTAAGATCTTCTCTCATCTTTCTCTATAATGTTCTGATGATCTGTGAGCAATAAACTACCAATATGCGATGAATATAGCGAGTAATTAGGGCAACAAACTATTTCTTTTAGTTATTTCCCTGCCACCAACTGGATCACTCCCAGAGAGGCTGGAAAGGGGACGCACTCCTCACCAAGCACCCTAGCTACACACAGGGGCCATCCCCATAATAGTAAGGTTGGCCTTTGCTGGCAATTTTGACACCACTGGAGTGTCCCTCCTTGAGATGACAACAAGTGTTAGGAGGAGAGACTGAAGTTGAATGGAAGGCAGTAAGGAAAACAGAACATAAGTGAAAACTTAGTATTTTTTCTGGAGGGACTGAGTTTCCTGAAATTTCAAAAGACTTCAATGGCTTGAAGAGCTAGCTCTCTGGTCTTAGAGCCATTCTGGGCCATTTTCACCCGGTAACTCTCCAAGATCTAACCTTGCCCCACTTATGCCTAATAAGGGCAATTTCATCAAAGTTAAAGATCATCTCTACCTACGATGTTAGTCTCCTTCTAAAATCACAAAAGTCAAGTTTGCCTAAACTTCCATATTTGATAAATCCATTCACCCTTCAAAGAAAAAGGCATATTTTGAAAAAAGTGCTGAACAAAGAGCTTAAAAAAAAAAAGCACGCGCACAAAAATCCCTGTGATTGGTCCTTCTTAAAAAGAAAAAAAAAAAGAAAAAAAAAGGAATAAAGCCCAGAACAATGGAAAGTAAGTGCTTAATGGGCTGAGGCTTTTCTTTTGGGAAGATGAAAATGTTTTGGAACTAAGATGGTGGCTTAGTTCACAACGTTGTGAATGTACTAAATGCCACTGAATTGCCCACTTTAAAATAGCTAGTTTTGTTATGTGAATTTTTACCACAATTTTTAAAAAGGCAACTTAAAACAATAAAATAAAGATAAACTTAAGGGCAATAAAGCCAAGAGCAGTTAAAACTCTTAATGTCTTTGAAGTAATTCTTGTCCTTTGCCGTTTGGTAAGAACACACCATTTGGAAAATGTCAGTAAGTGCAGTCATTTCGAGACTTCTCAGCGCTGCTTCGGTTTGTAAAATAATGGCTGCTGTTCAACAGTGGTGCCTACCACAAGCCACCCAGTAGGTGAGGCTTGTTTTTCAACTGAGTAACAGACCATCGATTTCAGTCGGGGGGGAAGAAAACAAGGGCTCACCATTTTTGCCTCCTGAGAAAGGACAGTGGACAGTTTATTCTCTTTTTAATCGATACCTTCCAGACGGATAATGCTACTTCTCATAAAATATCTTCTTCCAAAGAAACCAGGGGCAGTTTTTCCTAACCTAGCAAAGGAGGCGGTCTACCAAATTCTTCAGACTGTCGATGGCAGTAAACTTGATCTTAAAACTGGATTGTACCTACGATATTCACACTTTCCTAAAGGAAAGTGCTTGCAGGGCCCTTAACGTAAATGGTTTGATGAGGGTCTGCTTTTAAATTGCTGGCACCATATTCACGGAACAGAAATGGGAACACAGTGACACAATCAAGTAAGCACTCTCTTTCCAGTTTGTTCTTTGGTTTCCAACCACATTCCTCTTTTCCTCTCTCCTTGAAGAACCACAAGGTATCAGAACAAGGAAACAGTTGGCCCTGGAATGTTAGAGCAATGAGTACAAATTTGGTAATATACGTTCTCATTCCTCTTCCATATATTCTTGGTAACGTAGGATTCCTGAGGCATTAATCTTGTGGGTTTATGAAAATATGTGTTCTGTGGACACTGTTAAAGAGACGATAATGTAGTTTTGAAGCTTTTCCGATTTGCCAACCTGAAACCCCAAGAATTAATAAAAAGATCTTTAAAAAACAAATTCTCCACGAATGTTCTCATTTAACACTGTGTAGTACTATCATGTGCCAGGCCCTAGTCTGGACACTTAAAAATATCAACCAATTTAATCCCCAGCAGCAACGCCAGGAGGCGGGGGTGTTCCTCTCATCAGCACGCTGTAGATGAGAAACTCGTCCAAGGCCACAGAGCAGGTACGTGGCAGATGCCGGACTTGACCCATGACGGTCAGACTCCGGAGTCTGCTCTTCACCAGCACCTGTGCTTCCTCTCTCACACGAGAGTTCGTGCAGGGCCATTCCTGCTCATCACAGTGTCATGACCAGGTGAAAAGGTGGTGGCCACGTGCGCCCCCCCCCCCCCCCCCCCCCCCCCCCCCCCCCCCCACACATAACGCAGCACAAAACCAACACCAGCACCTGACACTTGCAAAGCACGCTCCGCCTCCCTTACCCCTCACAGCAACCCACGAGGGCAGGGCTGGAACACGGGCATAATCTCCATTTCATAACCAGGCTCAGAGGGCTGCGGAAGAGCTGGCCACAACTCACACAGTTAAGGGAGTGGCAGGGTTGGCTCCGATTTCAGCTTCTGGAATCCCATTCTGGGGCGCCTGCATCTACACAGAGTGCTACAAAGCCCTAGCGAAGCCCAGAAAACACGACATGACGGCGCGGGGTCCTGCCGGTTTCCCTTGAGAAATCAGTACACAGCCAGCACCCAGAAAATGCTGTTCTCTATCAGCACATCTAGACACTGGTCTGTCCAGTCCAGCCAGGTCTCTGTGTGAGACTTTACTGGACTGAGGATTAGGCAAGAATTAAGAACCAAACAGGCATGGGTGGTGCCAGGACTACCCTGCCTCCAAGCCTGACAGAAGGGAAATGGGGTGGTAGGAAGAACCAGGAGTGACAAAATGCCCAGTGTTCTACCTGTTCTGTGGATCACCGAGACTAGTGCTGTCTCTGTATGGCCCGAGGACAGAAGAGGGGTGACAAGCTGGCCCCAGGCCTCCCTGGGGTGCGGCGCTTGTCGGCAAGTGTCCCGCAGAGTCCAGCTCAACCCTTCCATCCTGCCTGGCCCCCCGTGACACTGAGGAGGCCAGGTCGGTTCAGGATGTAGCAGGGGACAGCTGTCCCGCCAGAGGAGATGGCTACCGAGTGATATGGGAGAGAGAGACGCAACTGAGCTTCCCTCTTCGTCCAACAGAAATTCTTATTCAGGAAAAGAAATGTGAAACTGAACTAGCTCTGGGATGAGATTCCAAATACTGAATAAGCAGCAGAGCACAGGCACTTCGGCAGTCGGGACGGCGCTCGGGAGCTAGAGGCCACTTGCCTGGCCAGACACCTACCTCCCCTTTAACATCTGGACCGAGGGGAGGTGGAAAGGGACGGAGTGTGGGGGCAGCAGGCGTTGGTAGGGTACTCACTACTGCCCACCCAGTACATCCTGGATGAATCAGCAGCACTGCCCCACAGCTGAGGGTCCTTGGGACCAGGGATATTAAAAAAAAATAACACTTTAAATATGGACTATTCAAGAAACCTAATGAATTACATATCCATTTTCTTCTGCATATTCAACACTAAGATTTTTTTTAAGTTTATTTTTGAGAGAGAGAGAGAGAGAGAGAGAGCACAAGCAGTGGAGGGGCAGAGAGGGAGAGAATCCCAATCAGCTTCGGTGGTGTCAGCACAGAGCCCGACATGGAGCTCGAACTCACGAACCGTAAGATCATGACCTGAGCTGAAGTCAAGAGTCGGATGCTTAACCAACTGAGCCACCAGGCGCCCCAATAATAACTAAGATTTTTGAAAAACAGTAGCGAGATTCCATCCTGGAGCAGAGTTGGATGTGAATTAAAATAATATGTCGACCAATCGAAACTATTTGATAAATGTCTATGAATACAGCGACCACTACTCCTCCTTAGAGTAACAGCAGCTTCACACAGTTAATCACACACCGAATCTCACCTAAGTCTCACTAAAACCCTATGAGATTACTGTTATTTTCATTTCACAGAGGAGCACACTGAGGCACAGATGTTAGGGAATTTCTGACTTTCCCAGGCCACATAGATGCTAAAGAGGCGGCGTGGGTCCTAAAACTTACGGCCAGCTCTGAACAGCCTTGTCTTCTGCTGCCCTCCTAGACACGTGCTGGTGACCAGGACTGAAATGCCAAGTGCGTAAGTTCAGAGTGGGGAGAGGCACCCCACTCTTAGCTGGGTTAATCAGAGAGTCTTCATGGAAAAGGAAGTATGGTCGTGGTATTAGAGCCTAGAGAGAGGCAATACCATGAGTCTAGAGATGGGTTCCACAGTGCATCACATCCAGACTGGAATGGTCCAAGAAAGGGAAGGAGCAGAGAGAGGACTGGGGGGCTGGAAAGGGGCTGGCCCACAGGGACTCTCTCCTACGTCAAATCGAGTTGAAGCAGGTGATGGGATCAAAGCCACATTTTAGCTCTGAAGAATGCAGATGGAATGGGGAGGCTGGAGTTCATGTGCCAGAAGCAAGACAAGGCACAAGAGAACCAAAGGAGCGGGAGGTCAGTGAGAAAGGACAAAGGTGACGACCAACAGGACACTGGGAGGGGAGAGGGTACGATCAGGAGTCCCGTCCCAGTCTCAAACTGAGTACACGCAGGTACCTTCCTGGAGTGAGGGAGGCTGCTGCGAATCATCGATTCATTGACCAGTCCAGGAGGGCAGCTGATGAGCAACGCCCCCTCCCACACCAACTCTTATCAACCTCAGGGGTCTTGCAACCTAGGAAACAACTGATTAGGACAATGGGACTCCTTCCTGTGTGCTGGGGACAAACACAAAGACAACAACTTCTGGGCCTCATACTTCCTCACCTTTTTCTGTCCCTCGCCCTCCCTCCAAAATTCGTATGTTCAAGTCCTAACCCTCAATACCTGAGATGTGAGTGTACGTGGAGACAGAGTCTTTTTTTTTTTTAATGTTTATTTATTTGTTTTGAGAGAGACCACAAGCCGGGGAGGGACAGAGAAAGAAACAGGGAGACACAGAATCCGAAGCAGGCTCCAGGCTCTGAGCTGAAAGCACACAGCCTGACGCGGGACTTGAACTCAGGAGCTGTAAGTCGGACGCTTAACCAACTAAGCCACCCAGGCGCCCTGAGACAGGTTCTTTAAACAGGTAATTAAATTAAAATTAGGTCATTAGAGTGAGCCGTAACCTATAACCTGACTGGTGTCCTTTTAAGAAGAACAGATGGGGGGTGGGGGGAGAAGACCAGACTGGAAAACGGACAAGCACGGGGGAAAGACCACATGTGGACACCGGGAGAACGTGACCATCTACCAGTCACGGAGAGATGCTTCAGAAGAAGCCGACTCTGTCAACACCTCAGTGTGACCTCTTGCCTCCAAAATTCTAAGAAAAATTTCTGTCGGTTCAGCTAAGTATTCTGCAGCACTCAGTTACGGCAGCCCCGGCAAGCTAACGCCCTTCTCGTTCCTTCCCCACCCTCACCGACACGGGAGAGAGATGCCACTGGGGCTTCTGGGTGAGAGGAATGAAAACCAGAGATCTACCTCTACCCGCCCCCCAACCCCTTTCTTGTTCCAGGAACATCGTGTTGATTCAAGGTCGTCGGAACACGAGCACACTCCGTATCGGCTGAATTCCCTGCCGCCATTTACTGGTGCTCCCCACGTGCTAGGCTTGAAATACTCATCTCAATCCATGCTCACAGCAAAACTCTGCAGGATGGCTACTGTTATTCCCATTTTCAAACGAGGAAACAGATGGCCACAGGTTAAGGCAATTCGTCGTGAGTACACGACAGATTTGGAATCTGAAGGCGGGCCTCAGCCTGACAGCCGTGAACCAACGCTCACTGACACTTGTTCTGTGCTACCTTCTGAGGCGTCCGACTCGGGACGACAGGGTCCAGGACAAGCCCAGACAAAGCCGGCAGAGCCGCCAGCCTCTGGCAGGAAGGCTCACATCTGTAGTGAGTAAGGCCACAAAGTCAAGAGAGCAGGTGTTCTTGCTGGGTGTCTCTCTCCTCTGCCTCCTGTCTGGACACCCTGCTCCCCACTCTTGCTCTCCGGGATGGTTCCCCACACCTCAGGGAGAGTGACTCTTCTAAAACTTAGCTAATCGGTCCTGGACTCAAAACCCTCCCATCTTCTGGGGCCTGAAGGCCTCAGTGAGGTAAGTGTCCAACTCTTGGTTTCAGCTCAGGTCATGATCTCAAGGTTCATGAGTTCGATCCCCACATCAGGTTCTGTGCTGACAGTTTGGAACCTACTCGGATTCTCTCTCTCTCTCCCTCTCTGTCCCTCCCCCACATGCTCTCTCAGTCTCTCTCAAAATAAATAAATAAACTTAAAAAAATTGTTTTAATTAAAAAAAGGGGGGTGCCTGGGTGGCTCAGTCGGTTAAGCATCTGACTTCAGCTCAGGTCATGATCTTGTGGTTCATGAGTTTGAGCCCCGCGTCGGGCTCTATGCTGACAGCTCAGAGCCTGGAATCTGCTTCAGATTCTGTCTCCTTCTCTCTCTGCCCCTTCTCTGTTCGCACTCTGTCTCTCTCTCTCTAAAAAATAAATAAACATAAAACAAAACAAAACTCCATCTTACCCAGGGCAAAATCCAAATGAGCCCTATGAGGCCCTACATGATCTGCCTGCCCTCTCTCTCCACCCAGCCTCTTGAACCTATCTCCTAACTCCCTGTTCTTTATACATGACTTTCTAAGCTGCTGCCGTCCCTGCTGTTTCTAGAACCTGCCAAAGACGCTCCTTGCTGTTCCCTTGGCTCTCTCACTTCCCTCAGGTCTCTACTCAATCGTCACCTTCACAGAAAGGCCATCCCCGAACACCCTGCTGAAAATAACACTCTTTTTTCTCCACTAACCTTTTGGCCCTATATGCTCCTTATTTTTCTTCAGAGCACTTATCAGGCCCTCACAGTCATGTTCATTTGTTATCTGTCTCCCCACACTGGGGATGGCAGCTCCATGAGACCACCCTTTCTGTTGATGGGGCACTATCTCCCAGGCCTGGGCCAGGGTCCGACACATAGTAAGTGCTCACTAAATCACGGATGGATGGGTGGATTGATGGATGGACACCAGAAACTATAACAATGGAGAGTGTACACAGCAGAAACACAGAAAATTGCTCTAGACACAACAAACTGAGGGTTGCTGGAGGGGATGGGGGGGAATGGGCTAAATGGGCAATGGGCATTAAGGAGGGCACTTGTGGGTGTTGTATGTAAGTCATGAATCACACAATTCTACTCCTGAAACCAATACCACACTGTATGTTAACTAACTTGAATTTAAATAAAATCTTGGAAAGAAAAACAAAATTGCTCCTGATGGTTGGTAAAAGGTGCCATTATGAAGTGGCCTGAGGTAGAGGGTCAACAGAAAGAACAAAGAAGGCCAGGGCGAGAGTCACAGGAAGGCTGACTGAGATAAGGTCATGTACTTTATATGCAGGCCACTTGGTGATTTTTAAAGCAGGTGGTGTCACCATGCAGGAACAAGCCACACAGGATGGACGACACAAACTCAAGGTGGGGAAGACATTCAGATCAATTCAGGGACTCAGCTTTCACACCTCTGGACCACTCCTATGAATCTTTTACAGCTATCAAAGAAAAGGCCAGAGGAAGTGTCTAAATGAAATCACCTTAGGTTTTTATGCCAATTTTAAAGTTAAAAACTCAATACTTACAGTTCTGGGTTCAAATGTATAAAGAGCTCTGAACACTTTAACTTGCCCTAAAAGAGAGGGAACAGATAAACACATGATCAATTCTTTCATTTTGTTTACTCTAATTTTTTTTAATGTTTATTTATTTTTGAGAGAGACAGAGCATGAATGGGGGAGGGTCAGAAAGAGAGGGAGACACAGAATCCGAAGCAGGCTCCGGGCTCTGAGCCGTCAGCACAGAACCCAACACGGGGCTCGAACCTACAAACCACGAGATCATGACCTGAGCCAAAGTCAGACGCTCAACCGACTGAGCCACCCAGGCACCCCTTAAGTTTACTCTAAATAGCATTATCCATTATATTCTTCAGAATACCCTAATTAAAAGCCCATGTGAGAAATTTATTTTGAAATTAAGTGCTTTTTTTCAGCATAGAAGGTATTTTGTAAATATTTGTTAAATAAAGGCATGAATAAACACACACCTCTGGGGATGATTTCGCCTCTCCTTCTCAAAAAACAGGAACTACACAATTATTTGGACTTCACTTCTGTCCTATATAGAGCCCTTCCAGCCCTAGGATCTAAGTTTAAGGTAAGCATTTAACATAAAGAGATATTTAATGTGACAATCAATGGTGGTTTAGTATTATTAAATCAATTATTTAGAACTTTATATTTTCCAAAAGAAAAGAAAAAAACATGGAGAAAAATAGTATCCGCTGGATAAAAATAAGATCCCGTTAAGTCCCAAAACAGAGTGCAATAACTCAGCAAAGAGGAGATCATATTCATGAAAGCTGTCCTCCATTCTCCCAAACAAGATCCCTATTAATATGCCCCTTCCCTGTGTTTCCATAACACCTTATGTTAGAATAAGTGATTTGCTGGCCTGTGTCATTTGGGAGCAGGAACTTGGACCTGTTCAATTTCCCAGCACCACCTATTATACAGTATGAACTTCATAAATAATTACTAAATGAATACGTAAGAGAACAAATTCAAACAGTAGGAAGAAGTCTACAGATAGAAAAAAAAAAAAAGAGGTCTTTCATGAAATAGATTTAGAAGGAATATCAAAATAGAAGGACTACCTATTTAAAATGTGATAACAACTCCATATCAGCACTACAGAACATTTATTTATTCATATTTTTAAAAATTTTTAATTATTTATTTATTTTTAAAGAGAGAGAGAAAGAGAGGGCAAGCAGGGGAGGGGCAGAGACAGAGGGAGACACAGAATCTGAAGCAGGCTCTAGGCTCTGAGCTGTCAGCACAGAGCCCAATGCGGGGCTGGAACTCACGAACCATGAGATCATAAAATGAGCCCAAGTCAGGTGCTTAACCGACTGAGCCACCCAGGTGCCCCGCTACTACAAGAACCTTTAAACATGGCTGCTGCCTACAAGAGCACCATTCAAAAAAGTGGTCTCCAAGATGCAACACAAGAGGACTATTTTAGAAGTTATTTACATTTTTGTCTTATTCTTTTTCATTCCTATTTTAATTTGTTCCATATATTACGTTTTATAATATAACAACTTAATAGGATACATATGCAACTTGTAATACACATATATTTATTGGGAATAAGTACTGAAAACCTTTTGCTGAATAGAATGTTAAGCATTATGAGGACGGGTGTTTATGTTTTATGAACAAGATATCCAAGTACCTAGCACAGTGCCTGCCTGGCACATAGGAGGCACTCAGTAATTATTTGTTGAATGGATGAATAAAAGAATGGAAACATGCACTGAAAAAGAAATCAGAAAGCCAGCCAACAGCACTGTCCAACAGAACTTCACACAACGATGGGTAAGTTCTACTTCTGTGCTAGTCACATATGGCGACAGAGCACTTGAAATGTGGCTAACGTGACTGAGAACTGATATTTAAACATTATGTAATTTTAATTAAGTTAAATTGCCACATATGGCATGGGGAACAATAGAGGTTTAGAATATCAAAAAAAATGGGAAATGACCCTAATGTCCATTAAGAAGGGATTACATAAATCGACTCTGATTCATCCTAAGAATACTGCAGACAGATCTGCAGACACTGACACAGCAGAGACCCTGCAAAATATTCAGTGACAAAAAGCAGGTTACAGAACAGTATACCGAATACTATTCCGTTCGTGTTGACAATATACACACGCACACGTACACCCCTTGAATAGTAGCACCAGCTATGGGGAACCTTCACCTTCTCCTTTATGTATACGGTTTATATTCATGACACTTAGCATGTATGACTTTTATAATCAACAAGAACAGTAAAGACACTTTCACGGCAGGTGGTGGGAGCCTGGGGAGGTGGGGCTGGCTATCATCCTTTCTCTTAAATGCCCTAATACAGAAGATCCCCTGCTCACATCCCCTGTCACTCAGCACGTTTGCAAGGAAACACTATTTTTTGCAGTCTGAATTCTAATGCCCCTCCTTCCCTGCTCGTCTAAGGGGAGGCTGATAGGCAGAAGCAAATACGAAACGTGTTTTCTTCTGGAGTTTTTCACATACCCCCGCAGCCCTGAGAAAGGAAACACGGAACGGAAGGAAGAGCTGCCAGGAGAAATACCTGTGGACCCTACTGTCTCTCTGAGAGGGGAGAGCGGTTATCTTGATGACTTCAAACTTTCCAAAGAGAAGTTATACAAGGAAGCAGTCCACTGGTGACCAAAATCAATAATGACAGAATGTTCTCATCCTTGGAGGGAATGGAAGCAACGAGATGAGCTATGGCTAACTGTGGAAACCAGATCCAATGTGAACTTAATGAGCTTACGTAAAATTCAACACCAACTAAAGAACCTGAAAAAAAATAAATTCTTGGCAGTGTGCCTAAGCCACTGAGTTTTGTTATCTTTTGTGATTGTCTTACTTAAAATGTTCCCAACTAAAAGGAAGTGGGAGATTTATTTGCATTTTGATTTATATTAAACATTGAACATCAAGCCAGTCTTTTACGTGGTTATACAAGGGAACATTCTCTCTGTGTGAAGCTGTACAAAACACTTTCACCTACATGATCCTGTTTATTGATTAATGTTGGGATGTTAGCCTCGTGGAGCTCCCTTTTAATCCATATATTATAAAAGTTCTGGGCCTTAATTTATTCAATTCTCAAACCTGAGTCAAACAGAAAAGAAACAATGCAAAAAAGCAAAAAAACAAAAAAAAACAAAACAAAAATACCAGCCAGAGGATATGAAAGAATTGCATACAGATTAAAAAAAAAAAAATGACTTTCATGGTTACAGTCTACCAACCCTGGTTAGTCTCTCAAGAGAATAATAATTAATGATATTTAATTCACTGAGCATTTTTACATATTTAATTCAACTGTTCTATAGGTGTACAGGTTCACACAGAATATTAAAGGACTCAGGGTATTCTGTGTTTCTATAGCACTGCCCTCACTGACACCTAAAAAAATAGTAATAAACATCTTAATAAATTATCAAGATAGGCACTGATCAATTCCAATTTTATTTATTCATTTTAATTTAAGTTTTTATTTATTTTTGAGAGAGAGACCAAAGATGAGTGAGGGAGGCACAGGAGAGAGGGAGACACAGAATCCAAAGTAGGCTACAAGCTCTAAGCTGTCAGCACGGTGCCTGACATGGGGCTCAAACTCGTGAACTATGAGATCATGACCTGAGCCAAAGTCAGACACTTAACTGACTGAGCTAACCAGGTATCCGAATTCCAAATATATTTAAAGAAGGCAGATTCACAAACATAAAATCGTGGTGTTCTTGGATTGGCAGGGAGGCAAAATCAGATGCCTTCTCCGGGCAGCACCCCCAACCTCGATCGGAAGGCTGGTTACACAAAACAAAGAGAGAAAGTGGAACCAGGAAGACTGTATGAATTACCTGGAATTCACCCTGAATTAAGACTGGAAAGAGGCCCGATCTTGTGTAAGATCCTTTCAGTGGATCTCACATGAACTAGCATGTGAATGGTATTTAGGATTTCAGTAGGGCTGGCCTCCTGATGCAAGCAAGATAAGCAGATTCCCATGTTTGCAGGCAGCAGCTGGGCCCTGCTGGCTTTTCACTTTGCCGGCCCCTCACCTTGCCAGGCACACCCTTCCTTTTTCTCTGCAACCCCACCCTGCCCCTACAGAGACAGGCTCAGTCCACCAGTCATCAACCGGAACACTGTTTGCCTCCGGAGTGAGGGCTGAAACCCAGACTACAGCGAACGAATCCTTGTCCACAGCAGTGGAGGCAGATAGAGGGAAAGGGGATCTGGGAGGGGTCACGTACAGGCAACGGGTAAGAGACTTTTCTGTGTCTGAAGTCTCCCAACAGAATGCAGATGGGTGCACCTCTGTGGCCCTGAAAGAGCTCTTCGATGGACGTGGGGTGCACAAACTCAAACACACAGTTTCTATTCTAGTTTCTTCTCTGTTGGCGAAGGAGTGGAAGAGAAGCTTCTAGAGTGAGCCACAAAGACAGCATTAAAAAAAGGATCACTCACAGCAAAAGGACCAACTATTCAACATATCAGAACTTGGTTATCTGAAACAGAGGATCCATTTCATTTACATTCTGCTTAAAACCATCGCAAGGCCAGGGGCGCTGGGTGGCTCAGTCAGTTAGACATCCGACTCTTGATTTCTGCTCGGATCATGACCCCACAGTTCATGGGATGGAGCCCTGTGTTGGGCTCTGCATTGACAGTGTGGAGCCCGCTTGGGATCCTCTTTCTCTCTGCCCTCCCCTGCTCACTCACACACACACTTTCTCTCTCTCTCTCTCAAAAATTAAAATAAACTGAAAAAAAACGTTGGAAGGCCTAAGACCTTTTAGATGGACTTCATTTAAAACGGTTATAATAGGAGCACCTGGGTGGCTCAGACGGTTAAGCGTCCGACTCCGGCTCAGGTCATGATCTCACGGTCCATGGGTTCGAGCCCCGCGTCAGGCTCTGTGCTGACAGCTCAGAGCCTGGAGCCTGCTTCACATTCTGTGTCTCCCTTTCTCTGCCTCTCCCCCTGCTTGCTCTCTGTCTCTCTCAAAAATAAACATTTAAAAAATGTTTTTAAA